GGAGCCCCCCGAATCCGTATCGCTGTTCTCCCGCTCCGGCACCCTGCCGATCCCCAGCGCACGCCACAGACACCAGCTGCGGATCAGGCTATGCGACCCTCCGTGCGGAGAAATGGAGCTCCCACAGCCGAACCTCGCACGATGGAAATCTGTCCACTAGATTCTGTAGCGCCTCAATTTCACTGGAAATTCCCAACAAGATATCCTTCAGCCGTTTCATATCGTCTTTCACTGGCTCAGTGACGCGGCGCACTGGGGTGATGCACTCCCTTCGCCGCCATCTTCTCTCTCCCCTCTATTGTCTTTCTTATACCCGTCTCCTCTCCCTACCTTTCATTCCACTTCATCTAATTCAGTGAACTCTGTCCACCCCTGCAATATGAGTTAGCATCTGCATATCAGATCATTTGGCCTTTGGTCTTTTGGGATTGACTTTTTTGCTTAGCACAATAGTCTCCAGTTTTATTCATTTACTGGCAAATATCATAATTTTATTCTTTATGGCTCAGTAATATCCCATTGTGTATATATACCACATTTTCTATATCCATTTATCTGTTGAAGGGCACTTAGATTTATTCCATTGCTTCGCTATCGTGAATTGAGCTGCTATAAACATTGATGTGGCCACATTACTATAGTATGTGATTTTAAGTAGGAAAGGAATACTCTATAATTATCTGAATTAATTATAATTACAAAACTGATGGTATTTCCTTGATATTAGTAAGTAGACTTAAAATAAATTTTGGGGAAAATGTTTATAATGAAAATGAGACGTATTTTATATTTTTCATCTTCCCAAACTGAGGAACTCCAGAAAGTTGAAAAGTTGAACATTTTCTATTAGCCCTGTGACTCCCGTTGCCTTCAGGTTAGTCCTTAAGGAAAAAAGCCTAAGACAAAGCATAGACACATTGGCCTTGTAATGATGACTTAATGGCATCTTGAAAATATTTCATAAAAAAAATTGGAAGAGAAAGTCAAACATAAATATTGGTATAGAACTGCATATTAACAATTCCCATGAGACATTCATGGCTGTTAACATTTAGATTAATTAAAATTAAACTAAAAATTTAGTTTCTTCTTTTAAATAGCTACATTTCAAGTGCTCAGTAGCCTCATGTGGCTACCAACATGTAGATAGTGTTTCTGTCATTATAGGAAGTTCTAATGGGGAGTACTGGCATAGGCTCTTGGATACTTGTAGCGAAATGAGGGTTTTATTGAGGATATCTTTATGGTATGGATCTGAACTGTATTTGTGTTATAAGTTAGGAGACAACGCTAAATTTTAACCAAATTAAAAAGTAATATGAAACTTTCCTTAAGAATAAATGATTCCTAACTAAATTGAATATGCAGAAAGAAATATGTGCATCAACATGAGACTGATAAAGATTAATACATATGTACATGAGTAAGATATATAAAGTGCAAAGGGCAAGGTATAAGATGGTGTATCAAATATGCTACTAATATTTTAGGAGAGAAAAACAGCAGGATGTACATACATCTATTTGTGTAGGCCTAGAGTAACTCTGGTAAGATGAGAAATTAGCCTTTGGTGCCTTGAGGCTAGGAATGGGGCAAAAGAGGCTCTAGGACTGGCAGTCAGGTATGGGAGGGGAAGTATTTTTTCTTTCTACATTTTAATTTTTGTGTAAATATCTATTGCAAAATAAAACATCAAGGAAATTTACAGAGCAGGACCACAATAACCACCAGGTCAGAAAGAATATGTGTGAGGCTTGACAACAAGGGAAGATGGAATATGCTGTTAGCTTTGAAGAGGATTTGGCAGGACTTAAGACAGATGACTGTTTTCTTCTAAGACGAAAGTTATCAGGATTCTATACTCTATTGAAAGTTTGAATTAATATTATTGAGGTATAATATTATACAGTAAAATGAATTCATTTTATGTCTTTAGTTTGATATATTTTGACAAATGTATATACCCTGTATAACTACTACTACTATCAAGATTGAGAACATTTTTATCACCTCAAAATTCCTGCACTTCCATATCCAGATGATGTCCTAGAAACTTTAAATGTCTGACAGTTAAAATACTGTCAGATGCATCTCAGGCAACCACCAATCTGCTGATACTGATGAAGCACCAGTGTCATTATGGCATTGTCAGTGTTCCTGTTCTAGAATTCTGTGAGAATGGAATCATACAGTATATGTGCTTCAGTGTCTGTCTTCTTTAACTTCCTGTACTATTGTGTCTATTATTGCTGGTTAGAAGGTAATCTACTTCTGTTCTTTTTTTTTTTAATTTTCTGTTGCAAATAATCTGGAATTAATTACCATTCTCTTACCTCATCCACTCCTCTCTAGCCAACTACTGCATTTGTATACTATTTGAGCTGCCATGTAGGTGAGAACAAGGTAGTTTAACATCAGCTTAAGTCAAGCAAAACCAATAGCTAAAGTCTTATGTGGACAAAGGTTGTAACAGGAGACCTGTGTTGTCAGCGAGGCTCACCTGGGGTACCTTCTATTTCTCTGGGCCTCCAGGGGATGGGATCCTTGATTTGTGTGCTGTGCCCAGAATCCTTGGGGAAAGTTAAAATACTGTCAGTTTTCAGTATTAGAACATTTTTCACAATGTTCTAATTTAATGGGATCTCATTTATGTAGAATAAGTAAATAAAAATTAAAAAGAGCCCCTGATATAACATGAATAGCATAGAAATCAGGAATGAGAACTGTCCCAGACTCTGCAAAGCATTTGTAAGAATTACATTATATGAGTAGATATTTAGGATTTTATAATATAACCAGCAACTACTGAGGGGAAATGATAAAAAATTGAGAATGTAATTTTTTGTTACATTAATCACCTCCATTCTTTTTTAGTATCAGTTAAATGGCACTAAATTGTTTAGAAGACATATGTATGCCTGGCTCAACACAGTTATGTGTACTTGGCTCTTCTCCAGCCGACCTACTACATGCCTTTTTAAACAAAGCAAAAAATCTTTGATCCAGGAAACTATTTTTTTTAATTATCAGATACACTAAGGAAAGGTAAATGTATTTGAATGTAGTGCTGTGGAGGATGTTTCCTGCCTTTTAATTATATCCTTAGAGTCACAGTCATGACTAGTCACTTTTGTGTGTCTAGACAACTTTCACCATAGAAAGGAAAAGAGAAAACAGTAGTGTTGAGTTGCACATGAGTAGGAATGTTAAATATGTATAGAGTAAGAGCAGTGATTTTCTGTTAATAAGTCATGAGTGATACATTTGGTTGCAGAGCATGTTTCCAGACTGACTTTTCTCCTTTTTGAACCTGTATTCACATGTATCTGAAAAAATTATCAGACATATCAATTTAGGTCTTATGATGTTCTAAATTATGTTGTATAGGTGTTCCTCCTCTCCAAAGAAAGAAAAAAAATACAAATTATTTTTAGATGTTGTTAGAACTCTCAAAGAATTATATAAACTTAAAAGAAAACATTGCCTGTCAGTAATATGGTACCATGAATAATTCTATTGAGATGGAGCTGAGCTTTATAAGTACTAAAAAATTTATAAGGTGAAATAGGAGAAAAGGGTGCTTACCTGTGTCACCTTGGCATGTTGAGCTATGGTAGTTTCGATTTTGGGTGGGCAAAATGCTTTTTCATAGGCCAGTTGAAATTAGAGTACAAAGGAGGGAAGTGTCAGAAGGCTAAATATATTGCTCTGCCCACTACAGTGTCATTCTAATATTTATAAAGTAAAAGTTCTCAGAATAAAATTTTGATTGTCATAACCAAGCAGATTTACAATTATAATTTTTTGGCTTATTCTTCCCACATCTTTAAAGGGAAACTATATATAAAACTAACTACAAAATGACATTGGTTTTCCTCTTGTACTTTAAATCTGTACTAAGATGTGATATCCCTTATATCATAAAATTCTATATTTGTTTTGAGATCTAATTGAATAGAACTTTCAAATTATAAGAAAGAGTATTTTCAGTGATTGATTTTACCCCATTTTCATAAGCTTCGACTTACTAAGAAAATGTCCTTATTGGTCTGATTTTGTGGGGGCAGTATGTATTAGATTGCTGGATGAAAGTCAGGCTGGTGGTTTCCAAGTGGCAGGACAATCTGGATTTTTTTTTTCTTTTAACAAAAACAGTTTTCAAAATATATTCCTGAAGGATGCATTTTATAATTTCTTGATGAATTTAAGCAGACTGATTTATTAACTAAGTTAAACTGATTTATTAACTAAGTTAATAAATCAGAAAAATCTAACTCCTCATGTATACTTGGCGTAACAAAGATAGTAGTGTTAATTAATTTAGTTGTATATACTTACATGAGAGATGTTGAATGTGTTTAGAATTAAGAAATATTTATTCTATAATTGATTTAACATTATATTCAATTTCTAAGGAAATTTTCTCTCATTGTTTTCTTTGAAGATAAGTCTTAGTGTTATCAAACTACAAATGAAAGTTTTGATAGAAACATTAAGCATAAGTCATATAAAAATCCTTTATTGATTTGTCTTAATTTTCTCTTTGTTTTCTAGAAAGCACAGGCATGTCAACAGAGACTAGATAGGGAAATTTCCAACTTTCTCAAAATGATTATGGAGTATGACATGGCTAAAGGTAAAAACAACATTACTAAAAATATCACTCTTTTATATAACCCATTTTTATAGATGTTTCCCCTTTATGGTTTTGTTTGTACATTTTAGATGATTTTGGGGTTTGAATTCAGAATTATGTTTGATAAACTATTTTATAATTTTAAAAAGGATGTTCAAAAATATCTACTCCTTGAAGATGCTTGCCGTATAGATTAATACTGATTTTATTCTTTTAAGAAAGAGAAAATAATTTAAATGAACATTTTGAGGTCTCTAAATTTATTTTGGCAATATAATAAGGATTGTGTTTGTGAATACCAGAAGACTTGGATTTTGGAGTCAGACTGTCTTAGGTTGGAGTCCTTACTCTGCCACTTACTAGGTGTTACTTTGAACAGTACACTTAATTTCTCTGAGCCTCTTTTCTCCCATCCTTACAATAAAGGGATTAGTTCTTTTCAGTCTTGGCCTTTTATAATTCTGTATATGTATATATGAACTTGTCTATATGATTATTAATCTTTCAGTAGGAACTTTTTTGTCTTCAGTCTGCATTACTTATGAATTATCAAGAATTAACTGTAGATAGCTTAAAATCAAGCTTAAATATTGAGAAGAAATTGCTTATGATTAAAAAATTATCATGGTTTTTAAACTCATAACAGTTGCTTTATAATTGACTTAGTTAATTGGGTTTTTGATGATCAATTTTTAATCATGAATTAGTTTCTCTCAATGGAATCCTAGTTTGTATGTTCCCAGGAAATGTGAAGAAATGTTAATACTAGAATAAACTGAGCATAAATATTCTATATTTGTCCATATGTACTTTAGGCATTCCTTTACTTCAACTCAGCAAACATGTATTGCTTTTTATTTTTTTTAACATTTATTTTTATCTGGGATAGCTTTGGTAAAGACAACAGTTAAAGTCATTTTGATTATTAACTTCAGGCTGGAATATTGTATTAGCACTATTCAGTTCTTAATGTACTTTTAAAATAGTTAACAGCTTCATTAGATATAATTCACTTAATAAAATATGTATTTGAATATGATGCTGTGGAGGACATTTCCTATCCTTTTAATTATAACCTTACAGTCACAGTCATTGCTTACTTTTGTGTGTCTAGACAACTTTCACCATAGTAAATGTACATGTAAAGTGTACAATTTGTTGTTTCTTAGTATATTCAGAATCATGCAATTATGACTGTCACTGAGCTTTTAAAATGTCATCTTCACCAAGAATCATTGAAAGGAAGAAGAGGATGGTAATGACATTTAAAAGATGTTTAAAAAGAAAAGTCCAGAGTGAGATGAAATATAAAGATTTATTTATTTATCTTGGACTAAAGCAAAAAAAAAATATCAGAACTATAACCAAACTAAGTTTAAAACAAAACAAAACAAAAAAACCCTTTTAGTCAGGGGAAAGGATGTGGCTCAATGGTAGAGCATTTGCCTGCCATGTGTGAGGCCCTGGGTTTAATCCTCAGCACAGCAAAACAAACAAAAACCTTTAGTCAAATCTCTTTGGTTCAGTTTACCTGTATGAGATGATGGTATTCGTGTCTGTAATACTGATGACTGAGCAATACAATTTGAACTGATAAGAACTGATAAGAAATCAACATAGTATAAGGATATGTATAATATTCAATACTAGGAGAGATTTTTCATTTTCCTAAGTGTCTTCTCAAAAACTCTGATATGACAAGCCTATTTTATATGTCTACAATAAAATTCAGTGGGCTAAGGTGCTCAATAAATATCTGATGAAGGAGTTAAAAAATATTTGTCTTCTTCACAACTATGAGCACTTTCTGAAAGATCAATGCAGATGAGAACATCTTTTAAAATATATGTATAAACAGTAAGTACATAGGGTTAAGATAATTTCAGAAATGAAATTGGAGAGTTTAAGGTAATGAAGACTATAATAATGCCAAGGGTTTGTACAAGAATAATCTTGTATTTAGTGTTTTATTAAAGGAAACTAGTACAAATTCTTAGCTAGTCTGTCAAAGACTTTTCAAAATGAAAACCAAAATGTTTGTGAACAGAATTCAGATGTTGTGATTGTAAATATCAGCAAAATTATATTAGCTTTGATACTTAGATCCCCTTCTTATTCAAATTTCTACTGTTACTAGTTCAACTTGGTATCTCCTCAAATTGACTTTATGACACCAGCCTACCCTTTGGTTTCCCTGTCTTTGGGACTCCCTCTATAAATCAGTAGATCTTAAGGGATTCTTCTGAACCACATTCTGTGAAGAGGTGGATTATTATTGTCAGTTTAATTTTACAGAGGTTCTTTGTGATCATCATCATCATCATTGTCATCATAAATTTTGACATGAGATCTCACTATGTTGCCCAGGCTGGCCTCAAACTCCTGGGCTCAAGCCATATTCCTGCTTCAGGCTTTCATGCAACTATGACTAGAGCGTGCTGCTGCATTTGGCTCATGATTTTTTTTTTTCATCTGTTGAAAATCTTTTATAGATCCTTGCAACTATAGAATAAGACATGAACTCTTTATTCTGGCATTTAAGGACTTTCATGGTCTAGTCACCTAAAATTGGGTCATCTGAAATTTTCAACTTTTTTTCCCAATTTTTCTTTCCCATGACCCCTTTAGAAAAAACCTTTGACCAAACACATGCTTTGGTTAGTGTCTTTGGTGGGAAATGTCCTCTACTGAAATACTTTCATGTTTATGAATAGACCTTAAGCCTAATTTTATTGAGTGCATGTCAGAGTTTATATATCTGACATTGGCAACACATAATTCAAGTTTCAGAGAATTCAGTATTAAAATGTCTACTGTTTTATCTTTATCAAAAGCCTGGTCACAAAAATAAAATAACCTAATGAAACTTTTGTAAGTGCTCCTAAAGGCCATGTTATCAGTCTGTTTTTCCATACATGCCTGAATTTACCCTTATGTGGTTTTGACTATTATAAATATGTTGTGCATTTATATTTGATCCCATCACTATGTTACCCTATATTCTTAGAAGTGGGATTAGTGGATGAAAGTGTTTAACATTTTGAGCTTGCTGATACACATAGCTAAATTAATTTCCAAAAGTTGGTTCTTTACATGCCAACTTTAATGCACATACTTTATTGTATGTTATTAAATATGTATTATGAATGCCTGATTAAGGAAATTGAAATTATTTTAGTTATCTAAAAGCACAACTATTCAATCTACTTAAAACTTTTCCCTGGAAATCCTAGGCTTTGAGGGAACAGACTAATCACCACCTTCACTGGCTCAAGTCACCATTGTGTTTCATGTGGATTATTAAAACAACCTCCCAAGTGGACCTGATTCTATGTGCCTCTACAGAGGCACGTAGAGAGATTTTTCTGAACATCCATAGATTTGCCACCTTTGCTTAGAATGTCCAGTGGCTTCCTGATTGTCTCATTTGGTGTGAAAGACAAAGTCCTTCTAATGACCTGCTGAGCCTTCTAGGGCTCAGGGCTGAGGCTATAGTTCAATGGTAGAGTGCTTGCCTAGCATGCATGCATGAGGCACTGGGTTTGATCCTCAGCACCACATAAAAATAAATAAAATAAAGACATTGTGTCCATCTACAACTACAAAAAGAATTTTTTAAAAAATTCTCTTCAGCCCTTAAACATGTCTGGTCTTTGCCAGGGCCCTTACTGATACCTCCTTCCCTAAAATTTCAACTCCTCTCAACACTTGCTCTCCCTCTACCTTGCTTTATTTTGTTCTGTGTCACTTCTCAGATTGTGTGTGTGTGTGTGTGTGTGTGTGTGTGTGTGTGTGTGTGTATGTGTAGTTGTCTGCCCTCCCCCACTAAGAGAGAGGGCAGGGATTTTCTCTTCACTCTCCAGCATCTAAACAGTGCCTGGCGCACATGATGGTGCTCACTCGTGGGCAAGCTCTCTAGCTCTCATGTGCATGGGTGAAGGAAATGAGTGACCTACTTACCTACCTTATAAATTTATAACATTTCTCTCAGACTCAGAAATGGTGATTTTTTTTGGCAGGTTAGTAAGTGTAAAGATAGTATAAGTCAATGAGACCTTTTAGAGACAAACTAGAGAAAAGAAACGCTGAGAACTGTGGAGTGTTTTGCATTCTGTTGTTCAGAGAAGTCCCATAGTTAATGCCCTTGGTTTTTGTATCTTCCTCCTCTCCTTTGGATCCAATTTTTTTCTTACTTGAGGTTAATATTTGAGTAATTCTTTAAGAGAATCTGAGTTGTAAAATATCTCTTAATCTTTTTTCATCTTCACTAGGTTATAGTTATCTTCTAATTAACATTTTAAAAATATGATTCTATATTCTTCTGATTTCTATTGTTCTAAATATGATTCTTTTGGAGTTAATCATTTTTTTTCTTTATCTTTGGTATTCTTCAATTTTGTCTATAGGTCTGGATTTTCTTACTCTGTATCTTGCTTGAGACCCTGTTCTTTAAGGATTCATTTGTTTTCTTCCTTCAATCTATGAAAGTTCTTACCTGTTATATCTTCAGATTTTACTTCTTTAATTTTTCTTTTCTGCCAGAACTACTGGCATTCATATGTTGAACCTTATTATTTTATCTCCTGCTTCTTAATTTCTCATATCGTTTCTGTTTTTTTGTTGCCCTTTTGTGTTGTTGTTGTGATGCTGGGGTTGAACCCAGGGTTTTATACATGCGTGGCACACACTCTACCACTGAACTACACCCCCAGCCCTTTCATGTTGTATTCTGAATAATTTTCTCAGTTCTATTTTTTATACCAAGGATTGAGCCCAGGGACACTTAACCACCTAGCCACATCCCCAGCCCTTTTTATTTATTTATTTATTTTTTTGAGACAGTGTCTCACCAAGGTTCTTAGAACCTCACTAAGTTGCTGAGGCTGGCTTTGAACTTGCAACCCTCCTGCCTCAGCTTCCTGAGTCTCTGGGATTATAGTGTATGCCACCATGCCTGGCTCAATTCTATTTTGTCATTTTCATTTCTTTTTTTAGTTTTC